TCAGAGAAATAGGACCAGAGAGAGAGAGGAAGAGAGACAGAGAGAGAGAGAGAGAAAGAGAGAGAGAGAGAGAGAGGGAGAGAGAGAGAGAAAACCAAGCACGTGGGCATGACAGCGAGAGCTGGAGATTTATGCGTGGGAATTCGCTTACCAGGTTATGGAAGCCATTACATCCCACAACATGCCATCTCTAAGCTGGAGACCCAGGAAAGCTGGTGGTGTAATTCAGTCTGAGTCTGAAGGCCTGAAAACCTGGGGTAGGGAGTGAGGGATGGTGAACACTGGTATAATCCTGGAGTCTGAAGGCCCTAGACCCAGAAACTCAGATGTCCAAATACAGAGAAAATGTGCTCTTCCTCTGTCTTTTTATTCTATTCTGTTCCTAAATGGATTGGATGATGCCCACCCATGTTGGATCTCTTTTACTCCCTCCAAAAATATCTTCCACATCACTTGGAGAAATAATGTTCAACCCACTGTCTGGGTATCTCTTAGTTCAGTCAAGTTGACTCATAAAATTAACCATTCCATTAGGTGATCTTTCCTTAGTGGGAAGCAGTACAATGTGCTTCCCAGCATGGACTTCACATCTTACTCATTTTATGGCTTTCAGCACGTTTCTGAACCTTTCTCTATGCCTAACTCTCCTCACTGATAACATCAGGATCATGAGTTCCTATGTTGAGTGAGCAACTCCATGCCCGTGTGGTTCAGTTTATCCACTTGTACAGTAGGGCGTGACAGAACCAACCTCATAGCTGGTGCCAGGGTTAGAACACACCGAGGCATATAGTTACCAGTGACTAGAAGGGGCCACTGGGACTTATATCGCACAGGTTGTTGCAATGACTAAATGAAGTTCAGCATCTGAAAGGCATAGTGCAGAGGCTTGTACACAAGAAGCACTGTTTGTTAGCCTACTGTGTACACCAGTACTTACACACACACACGCACGCACGCAGTCATGGCAGACTTAGATATTTATATGAATGCATACTCATTCATTTATATACCTGCATATACACACATATTCACATCTACTTACTTATGAACTCACTGACCTATACACACATATTCCTAACCAACAGCCTGTCCAAGCAGGACCCTCAGGAGTCCCCATCATTCTCATGCAGAAATGCAGACTTCGCGTCCATCCTGTGGGGCTGTTCGTGACCTTTCTAGCTCTTTGGTGTGCAGTACTTAGTCCCAGCTGTTTTTGAAGTACATGCACTTTCAAATGCATCAATCCATGCAAGATCAAAGAGAGAATCTTTTTCAGTCACCTAGGACTTGTACAATTAGGAGAATACATTATTTATATGTTTTTAACATTTTTAGAAAATGCTGCTGCGTGACATTTTTTAAAGTACCATTGCTATCCCAGGTTTTATTTCCTATGAAAGGAAGTATTTCAGTGGGCATTTTATTCCAGATATTCATATGCTGTCGTGAATATGTTCTAATGTAAGTGTCATCTGCATGCAAATTCTAAGTCACTTTACACAGAGCAAAATTTATGTGGGTTTAACCTGATAGAAACAGAGCTGAAATTTGAATATTTAAGTATCTTGATAAGTGGAATCTGAAAAGCTGTCAAAAGATGAGATAATAAACAAATGAGCCAAATGGTTGGACCAGAGGGACAAGAGGAAAAATACCGAAGAAATCTCCAAAGGGAAGTTAATAAGCAAAGAGAAAGAAAATAATGTGACAAATGAGATGCTAGCAGCTACCCCCAGAAGAGTACCAGTGTGGCTGGTGAATGCTGACAGGCAGCCACGTGTCAGAATGAGTGGCAGCCCAGGGTGGAAGAGGAATGCAGAAGGACCAGCTCATAAATGACACAGTGATGAGTGAGTTAGTAAATCTATCAGATAATAAGTGAGCTGGTGATACACACTGGACAGATAACGGAGGAGAGGTTACACAGAAAAGTCAGCCAAGACCATGAGGGAAAGGGAAAGTCTGCGTTCCCGAGACCAAAGCATTTAAAGTAAGTTATCCTAGGCAGGAGAAACTGTCTAACTAATCACAGTATCCAGTTTTGGCACCTTTCAAAAAACGTAACAAAACTTCTGTTGCAGTTAAAAACTGAGCCTATGCAGTATTCTCCTGGTCTGATTTGCACTGTGTGCTTATCACGACTTGCCCTCTCTTACCTTCTCGTCCCTGAGTTTCCATCTGTAAAATAGATTGTAACACTGCCTTCCATCCTTTCCTGTGGGCTTATTTGAGGATTAAATTCCACGTGAAATACTCAAAACTTTTACCCAGAACATAATAAGTAACTAAGAATGATAGCCAAGTTGCTGTTGATATTGTTAATCATATCATTCTTACGACTTCTAATTTTTCATTTGTTTCCTTGATGGAATGTGAATGTGTATCTCACACATCCTCAGTGCCTAATTCAGCAGATGACTCACCCTTAAGATGCTCACATCTGTGGAATGAATGAAATACTGATGAACTCTCTTATCTCTTACTGAATATTCATAAATATCACAAACTTTTCCGGGGAGCTCCCAGGGCTTTTTGTTTTGTTTTATTTTCAGTTTTCAGAGTTCGTTTTCAACCCAACAACAAAGATAAACTTAAATGCCTGTTAATCAAAGTAATGTGTAAATCCACAAAAAGAATAATTTAAGAATAAAAGTAAAGAAATTAAAATTCAAGGAAACTTAGGGGTAATAAAAATTTCTTTGAAGAGTTATAAATACATCAATTATTATTATTATTATTATTTTTATAAAATAGACAAGAAACATGAATAATAGAGAAATGGAAAAGGAATATAACAATATAAAAAAAGATTTTAGAAAGTGATAATTAGCAATCTCATGCCAATATATTTGAAATGGTAAGTTTTCAAAAGTAATATAAAGACTCGAAATTAACAGAAGAAATAGACCTAAACAGAGCCATAACTACTAATGAATTAGGATCTATAATCTTCTCTTTCTTTGGCAAACATCAGATTTAGATAGTTTTACAGGTAATTTTACCAAACCTTTAAGAAATAGTTAATAGAAATGCTATATAATTTATAACCTAATCGGTAGTGTCTTTTGTAGTGTGGGATCCTGAAAGCAGAGATAGCTCTGATCAGGGACATGTTGGTTTTCAGTGTCTGCAGAAAATAGAAAACTATTTGTTTTGATTTATTAGGAGTAAGTGTGCTGTCTCCGCCCCTACATTCCTCACCCTACCCTGAATTCATTGTGTTATCACTGAGTTTTTCATGTTGTAGGAGGCCAGAACAGTGCCTCCTTTCTATTTCTGGCAGATTGGGGATGTTTATAATTTGTGTTATCAGCTATATTGTTAGTTTATGCTCTGATTTGACAGTATGCCATGTAAATAAGTCTCCTGCATGAAATCCAGAAAGCCAAGATTCATTTATTCATGATTGGTGCCAGTTTGTATGCAGTATGGCTTATACACTTTCCTGATTAAATGCCTGTGTTTATTTCAATAGATATATTAACAACCTGACTTAAATAGATATTCTAATTTTACTTCATTTAATATAGGTATATGTGTTAAGATTTTGCTTTTCAGTGGATCGTGTGGGAAGGAGGACACATATCTCCTGGAGAGCAGATTTTGCAGGGTAGAGGTGTCACTGGCTAGCAGGGATCCTTGATTTAGTGATAATTTACAGAAAAAAAGCTTTGATTAGAAAGTAAGGAAGTGAAGATAGGAAAAAGCATGCACGAATTTACAGAAAAAAAGGTTTAATTGGAATGTAAGGAAGAGAAGATAAGAAAGGACTCTACTTGAGGAGGTAGAGGGGACTCACTGATACAGGGGTTCTGACTGGCACCCCACAAATACAGGAAGCCAGTGTAAGGGTTAGCTGAGGTGGGCCAGGTTCCCATTGATTATTATCTGCCCTGGCTTCATAGCTCAGGTTGAATACTTGTGACTCGAAGGGCAAATTGGGTTTCCACGGAGAGAACCCTGTAACTAACGGGGCACCTTGGTTCCCATAGAGAAGTCTTTATGATGCCTGAAGCACTTGCAGGCATGTGAGGCTGTGCTGAGTCCAAGTTGACCATAGGCTTAAGGCAGTGATGGTGAACCTTTTAGACTGAGTGCCCAAATTGTAACCCAATACCCCTTATTTAACGCAAAGCGCTACCCCTGCCCCTGTGTGTGGTGTTATACATTGCTTGGCCGTTGGGGTGATGCTGGGGTGACTTGGCTCACATGCCGACAGAGGGCTCTGCCTGTGTACCTGCTGCAGCAGGAGTGCCGTGGGTTCACCACCACTGGTTTGGGGTGATGGAGACTTTGGGCGTAGATGTTGTTAGTCTCAGAGGCAATGTGATAGGCCAGGTAGGTTTGGGATGAAAAGACACGCCCTAAATGAATAACATGCCTGTGTGCAGAACTGAGAAGGATTGACCCAGAGTTTCACAAAATGAAAGTCATACTTTCATCTCCTTTTGGTTACCCATTGGGCATTTGTAGGCCCAGGTGAAAAGTCAAGGTTTTTAGCAAAAAACACTTTGAAGTCCCTGAGTGCCTTAGGAGAAAACCTAAATCATGCTTTCGATGAGTAACAGGCCTAACAAGCCCAAGAGTTTAATTGTTCTTTGTCCCTGTGGTGGTCTCTGGCTTTGTCACGACTGTGTTGGAGGGAGGAGCAGTGCTCACGTGTGGGGGCCTGGTGAGCTTCCTGGAAGGTTTAGGGAAGCAGTTTCTGCCATATACAGAGCAGCCATGGCCTGTCGGTCACTGTGCAGGAGGTTGAGCTGTCCAGTCTGCTGTGCTTGGTCACATCCAATTTGATTTTCCGTTAATTGCAACCATATATTATAAGAGATCTGAGAGGAAGCCCTCAAATTTGATCTAAGATACTGAGTGGTCTTGTGGGCCAATGCTAAGTTCTTTAATCAGGATTCAGAGGCTAGATCACAGTTACATGAAAAGAAAAAATGCTGAGTGTTAAACTTTCATCTATACCTTCTACCTTATAAGAGGCATGCCCTTACCTGGTGCTGAACCTGAAATGTATGGCCTCACTCATGTGATGGCATGTGGCTGACAGCATTCTTCTGTGAGTTCCTGTGTGAATTCTCCTTGTATGAATTCTTCTCTATGACCTTGGGCAGTTTTCCTTGTGAGGCTGGATTTTATCAAGGTTATGTGAAGTCCTGGGCCACATTACGGAAGCCACACAACCCTATTATCACTGAGTTACTTTTGTGAGCGATGGAGATTGTTCTAAAACTCATTCCAAATCCGGTTACTCCTGTATGGGAAGTTGTAAAGATTCATTACACCTTCAGGCCAAAAGCCAAACCTGGTCAGATCTTCGACCATCATCACCACGAATACACCCACCAGCTCATCCTCCTGGCCCCTCTGGCCCACGCAGCTATCCTCACGCTCCTCCTCACTGTTCCCAGAATCCGGAACCTCCTCACTGTTCCCAGAATCCAGAACCTTCTTCCCCAAAGAGCTGAGGCACCACCCCCTTCATCTTCATGTTTCTGCTCAAACATCCACATTTCAACCAAGCCAACCCCATTCAAAACTGTCTCCTCCCCTGCTTCAGTTTACCCCCACTTACAGCCTGTCTTTCTCAGCTTTACTGTCATGGGCTACTTATGAAGTGAATCAAGTTTTATTTTGGTTCAGGGATTCTGGAGGTTGAAGTCCAAGATTGGGCAGCCCACTGATGAGACCTCTGGAGACTGAAGCAGCCAAGGCAGGATCCTGTGTTGAAGTGAGTGCTGCCTCCTCCAGTCTGGAGGATTTGACAGAGGGACACATTCTCAGAGACCCAAGGACCTCCCACCAGGCCCCACCTCTTAAAGATCACAGCTTTTCCCAATAGCGCCCCCTGGGGACCAAGCCTTCAACACATGGATCTTTGGCTGATGGGTACCCAAACCCTAGCACCACCTTTTAACACCCAGTATGACTCTTGCCCTTTCATTCTTTGAGGTTTACTCAGTGGTTTTATTCACCATTCACCGCCTGGACTGAGAACAGTGCCTGGTTCCATGAAGATACATTCACATATTTTGGGGCTAAATACATAAATTCAAAAACTTAAGATTTGCTATTCAAACCCAAGTGTAAGATTAAACATTTATCTCCTATCAGTTTCTTCTTGCTTGGTACAGCTTGCCAACCTCTTTGACCCTGATTCAATAATCTAACCAAGTTCCTCATCCCAGATTGTACCTCATGTAAATGTGTGCTAACATTTTGTGCTTTCCCAAAACATTATGACAGGGAACGGGAAGTTTGGGCTTCTGATAGGTTTCTCTCATCAAGTCTCTGTGCTGTAAGAGAGAAATTCAAAATCTAATGGGTCTTTGCCATTCAGATAAGAGCGTCTACACTCCCATGATCCTCCCAGTAGAAGAAGAGCAGCTGCCACTGATGTTCATGAACCAGCCTTGGCCCCAGTGAACCCCTGCAGGTGTGACCTGCTTTACATGAGTGCTTGGGTCTTGTTAGGGTTTACTAAAGTGTCCCCCAAAATCTCCTGTGTTTGGAAGGTGACTGGATGTAGGGGCGCTGTACCCCTCAGTGGACTCATCTGTTGATAAGTCCAGGCGCTCATTTTGCTGTTAGGAGCCTGGGTAGAAGTGGACCACTGGCCGTGTGAGCTAGAAAGGTGTGTTCTGGTCCCTGGCTCCTCCCTACTCTCAGCTTCCTTGCTGCCACATGGCGAGCACCCTTCCTCCACGATGCCTTCTGCCCTATGGTTTCTGCCTTGGAGCCAGCTGCTGCAAACTGAGTCCTTTAAAAACTGTGAGCCAAAGTAAACCTTTCCTCCATTAAGTTGTGGATGTGGAGTATTTTGTCTCTATGATGAAAGTGACTAACGCACTTGTCTTTAGCCCTTGTCTTTTTTTTTTTGCATTAATTTATTCCATCTTCTTCTAGCACTTTCCTTCCTGTATTATTTTTAAGGTAAAAATTATTTCATGTGACGGAACTGTTTTATGATCCGTTTTAAGGTGAAGACCTAAATTTCCTTGTGTGTACATATGTAAAATATAATGGCTCTATATAGAAAAAAAGTGGAAAGTAATGAAAGCTTAAAAAGTGAGGAACCATATACTGTACATGACTAATCATAAATCATGATAGTTTGACTCACAATTTTTCAGCTTTATCATGGAGTGAAAGTGATGCACATTTAGTAGAAGCCACACTGAATTTTAACCTTTTCCTGGGTGACCTATGTGAAATAAGATCATCTTTCATGATGCTGGGCAGGAGCTGGGAGCCACTACTCTTGGTCAGCCACAGAATTAAGAGGAGAAAGACTGTTACCTTTCAAGGTGCTGTCCTGCTAAGCTAATATGTTCTCTAGGCTCGGGATATTAAATGCATTTTCAACTTACAATATTTCCCATTTACAGGAGGCGTATTGAGGTGTAATCGCATAGTAAGTGCAGGAGCATCTGTACAAGACAATAAATTATTCCAGCTTTTAGAAAACTGAGAACAAGAAGATCAACTTTGGGTTGTATTTAAACAGCATTTCAAGGGCATTTCAGACGACTATGTGTGTGTCAGGCCATTCTGAAGTGAATCTAAACATTCTATGGGCCATAAATAGCTAATTATGGGTCAAGCTGGAAGCAAATCAGAAGCTATAGCATCAGCTCTTGATCTATGGCTTAAATTTCCCATTTATGCCCAAACAAACTGAAGAAGATAGTTGTGATCAGAACTTACACTGAAGGTGACTTGTCCCTTTTGAAGTTTGGCTTTAGCGTTGGCTAATGTTGAAGAATTGTCAAAATGAGTAACTACAAAATTGGAGCAGTTTGTGAAGTTTACATTATCTCATTAAAAAAAGAAAACTCAGTAAATAACATCGCCATAATTCTTCTTGGTTTACACAGAAGATCAGAAGCCATAACTCAAAATGAAAGGAAAGTAAAATGATGAAGTTGGAAATCAGCAGAAAGGCTGCTTGAGCTAATTGAAAATGCCCCTTTGTGGAACCGTTCCATACAAAACAAAGATTTAAGCTGATGCAAATATTTTACATAATGGGCTGAATTTATGGAGAAAAATGGAGAACAGAGGCATGACTTCCCTAGTTAGCAGAAGACTCCACTCACTGAACTCTGTCTGTCCTTGCCTGTGTTGGCTCTCTGCTGCCCTCTTGGGGTTGGGGCGAGGAGAGGGCTGGGGCACTGTGGATGGAGAGAGCTGAGATTCATGTTTTTGTGTCAGGATTCCTGGCTTGGAGGACAGAATGCAGACTGGATTTCGACCCTAGACACTTTCATAATGCGACCTGGCTAGTAGCGTTTCTCAAACTCATTCAGAGTGTCACCCAGGATTGGCGACTTTCCTTTATTTCCCATTGGCTTTTTCCCTGGCACGGGCCCTAGTCTCAGTTTTTCTTTGCTTTCAGGCTCTTTCCCACCTTTGCCAGCCATTCTTTCCCTCTTGATTTCTGTTTGCCTGACCCTCTAAAATTCCCATACTAGCATTTGTCATGCAGCACAGCTTATGCCTTAAGAACGTGCTCTGGACCACACCTGTTTGAATTAGAATCTCGGTTCAGCTGATTCACAGCTAGGAAACCTCAGAAAGTTATTTACTTACTCCATGCTTCAATTTTCCTGTTTGAAAAATGGGATTAACTATGGTAATTCATAGGGTTGTTGTGAGAATTAGAATAGTTTATAATAAAGTGTTTAGATTAATATTCAGCAAGGAACAAATAACAGCTATCATCACAATTTTGCCCCATGGGGGCATAGAGCTGAAGAGCAGTGACCCTGGAGAGCTAAGCAGGATCACAGCAAGGCAGGGGCCTTGAGTCCTTGATATCTTAGATTCTAAAGAACTCTTCACACCTGAGTTGTTCTTAGTTACCCCAAAAGCAGAGCCCAAGACAGGGAAGCAGGTGTCAGAAACTGGGAGGGAGGGCCTCAGTAGGAGGGAGATTCCCTCACTGGCATTTGCAGGGTTGCTGCTGTGGGTGACGTAGAGATGTACAGAATGCTCAGAACCGTCCCCTAGACAGGGCGGGGACAGGCTGCGTCTCCTGGCTCGCATGTCCCCTGGCTGAGTGTTAAGTTGGGAGGTGTTGGTGCTCCTGTGTTGGTGTGTTAATGCTCCCTCTGGCCAGATGGGCTTGCCCAAGTGAAAGGGGCTTGGTGCAAAAAGAGAGCTGGGCTTGATGTGCGGTGAGCAGCCCCGTCTCCTTTCAGTTTCCACCTTCCTCTGCTGAGCTCCTCAGTGATGGATCCGTGAGCAGACGGGGCCTTATTCACAGAAGACCTGAGAAGTAAAAGGAATGTCATTCAAGGAATGCAGTTGACACGGTCCCTGATTCCCTGGTGTCAATTCTCAAGTCCTCTTCAAACACATGTATCTGTGAATTCCTCTGTCAGTAAGAACTGAAGCATTTATTAAGCACTTACCATGTCTAGGTATGTGTAACCCCAGCACTCATTATGACATGAGAACTTCGTTACAGTTCTTTAAGGTGGGAGCACATTGTTCTAGAGGGAAGGCAGCCTTGGTAAAGTGGACACCTTGCCAAAAGCCACATGAGTGACAGAGCTGGGGTTCAAACACAAGTCTGTGTGTGTGGGTGCACTACATTTATATGTGTAATGTATTTTTGTATGCCTGCGTTTATGTGTGTGCCTAAGTGTACGCTTGTAAGGTGTGCATGTGTCTGTGTGGATGGGTATATGTGTATATGTCTAGTGTGGTGCGTGTGAATGTGTCTATGTGGGATATATGTGACGTACATGTTGGTAGGTGTATCTGCGGTTGCATGTGTGTGTGCATGCATGTGTGTATTTCTGTGCATGCAGGGTGCATGTGCCTATGTGCATGCCTATGTATGTGTCTGTGTATTTATTGTAAAACCCAGACTTCTCACCACATGTTCACACTGGCTCTCAGATGCTACCTACATAGTTTCTTTCCTGCCTGTCTTGAGTAGGACGCTCATCCATTTAGCAAATGCTGTTGTGCTGGCTCTGAGCCACAGGGGCCAGGCCCCCCGGGACACTGCCTGTGGGCACTCAGGAACAGAATCTGTCCTGCACCGTGTGCACTGAGGGCCCAGGTCTCTCTGTGGCCAGCAGAGGACCTTCCTTCTCTCCCCTGTGTGGGAGGAAGTAGTTCAGTTCACCCAGGTGACTGCTTGGAGAAGTGTCCTCGGGGCCAGGCGCAGCTTCCCAATGCTGGAGCTGCCCAGAGAGCCCTGTACCACACGCAAGAGCAGGGCGGAGCAGGAGGAAGACCCAGGAGGGCCAGTTTTCCAAACCCCTTCTCTTGAAAGTCAGAAAAATGGGCACAGAATAGCGATTCCCTTCCTTCTCCAACAGAGAGGACCCTTGCTCCAGCAAAGGAGGTTGCATACATTGTGAGGGTGGAGTTTTCAAAACCATGGTGTGTATTTACTCG